CCTTCTTCCCACCTGAGTTTCCTTTCCGTCCGGAGGAAGTCACCTGCTCTGAATGTGTCACACACATGAAAGGTGCGACTTCTTTCACTCAGCACACTTCAATGGCCACCTGTGTAGCATCTACACTTCTTTGCTTTTTTGTTGCTGAAAAGTATTGTGCTGCTAACTCAGAGACTAAACCTCTCTGGGGCTTCAAACCCACCAGTGCTCTGAGGGAGTAGGACGGACAGGCACTTCCCAAACAAAATGCAGTCTCCAAAACCCAAGGGAGGGTCAAAGTGACTCGGATCTAACTCAGCAGCAATCAGTAAGAATATCTTCTACTGCGTGGATAGACCACATTTAATATATATACTCACCCCTTGATGGAACTTCAAACTGCCTCCACATTTTGGCTATTTTGAATAGTTCAGCTATGAACTCCGGTTTACAAGATTTAGTTTGATAATGAAAACACCACTTAGAAAAACCTCTGGGAAATAGCAAAAGCAGTAATCAGAGGTCAGTTTATAGCAATAAGCAACCACATCAAAAGGCATGGGAAAAAATTAACCATTGACTCTCTAACTCAACATCTCCAACAAATTGAAAAAGAACAGCAAGAAAATCTGACACTCTCTAAAAGAAACGGAAATTATAAAAATTAGAGCAGAAATAAATGAAATAGAAAAGAGAAGAACAATTGAAACCACCAACAAAACTAGTAGCTGGTTCTTTGAAAAGGTCAATAAAATTGACAAACCACTAGCAAAACTAACAAAGAAAAAGAGGAAAAGACAAATAAATAATCTGAATAAAAGATTAAACAGGCAACATCACAACAGAACCAACTAAAATAAAAAGGCTAACAATGGAATATTACCAAAAACTATACTCAAACAAATAGGAAAACCTAGAGGAAATGGACAAATTCTTAGAAATTCACAACCTACCTAAACTGACACAAACCGATATTGAACACCTGAAGAGACCCATTACAAAAGAAGACATTAAAAAGGTAATAAAACAAATTCCAAGAAAAAAAAGCCCTTGATCAGATGGTTTTACAAGTGAATTTTATCAAATATCCAGAGAAGAGCTGTCACCAATTCTACATAAACTATTTAAGAAAATAGAAAAAGATGGAATTCTCCCAGACTCATTCTATGAAGCAAACATATCCTTGATACCAAAACCAGGTAATGACACCACCAAAATAGAAAACTAGAGGTCAATATCTCTCATGAACATAACTGTAAAAATCCTGAATAAATTCCTGGCCAAGATTCATAGTAGGTGTGCAAGGACGGTTCAACATAAGAAAAACAATCAATGTAATTCATCACATTAACAAAGCAAAGAACAAGAACCACATGATCCTATCAATTGTTGCAGAAAAGGCCTTTGACAATATCCAACACATTTCCTTATTAAAACCCTCAACAAAATAGGATTAAAGGGGAATTCTTTCAACATAGTAAAAAGTATATGCGCAAACCTGAGAGCCAACATTATTCTCAATGGAGAGAGATTAAAGGCATTTCCCTTGAGAACAGGAGTACACTATCACCTCTCCTATTCAATATTGTATTGGAAGTCTTAACAATAGCAATAAGAGAAGAAAAGAAAATAGGAGGTATCCAAATTGGCAAAGAAGAAGTAAAATTATCTCTATATGCAGATAATATGATAGTATACTTAGAAAACCCTAAAGACTCAGCAAGAAAACTACTGAACATAGTGACCAATTAATTCAGCAAAGTGGCAGGATACACAATCAAGAACTGGAGCTAAGAAAAAACAATACCCTTCATAATAGCTAATCACAAGAGTAAATTTGGAAGTAAATCTAACCAGAAGCACAAAGGATCTATTCAAAGAAAATTATAAAACATTACTACAAGAAACAAAAAGAAAGCTGGAGAAATGAAAGAATATACCTTGTTCATGGATAGGAAGACTCAGTATTGTGAAAATGACAATACTACCAAAGGCAATTTACATGTTCAATGCAATCCCAATACAAATACCAATTCCATTCTTCAATGACATAGAAAAGGCAATCCTCAATTTCATTTGGAATGGAAAGAGGCCCCAAATAAGAAAAGCACTCCTTCAAAAGAGAAACAAGGTAGGAGGTATCTCACTCCCTGATTTCAAAGCCTACTACGTTGTCGTAGTGGTCAAGACAGCGTGGTACGGTACAATGACAGACATATAGATCAATGGAACAGAATTGAGAACCCAGAAGTCAGCCCATCAACCTAAGGTCAACTGATTTTTTTATAAGGAGATGAAATCAGTTAAGTGGGGAAATGATAGCCTTTTTAACAAGTGGTATTGAAAAAATTGGGTAACTAGCTGCAAATAACTGAAGCAAGATCCACACCTCTCTCCATACACAAAAACCATCTCAAAGTGGATCAAGGACCTAGGACTAAAACCAAGGACTATAAACTTCACTAGAGAAAAGCTTGGGAAAATTCTTCAAGTCCTAATCCACAACATAAACATTCTTCCAAGCATCCTGAAAACCTTCAACCAGAAGAGGATACAATAAATGAATGGGGGGAGGGGAATGAATGGGATATTCTAAGAATAAAATCACTATGCACATCCAAAAACAGAGTAAAAAGGGAAGCCAGAGACTGGGGGAAAAATTGGTAATGACATGTCAGATAAAGGACTTACATCTAGAATTTATAAAATACTCGAGCACCACAAGAAGATAAAGGTGTCCAAATGAAAACTGGGCACAGGATGTGAACAAACACTTCACCAAAGAAGACATTCAGATGGTGAACAAACACATGAAGAAATGTTCAAAATCCCTGGCTCTGAGATAAATGAAGATCAAAACAACTATAATATATCCTCTCACCCCAGTAAGAATAGCAAAATTTAACAGAACAGCAAACAAATGCTGGTGAGGAGCAGAGATCTCCCATTAAGAGAAGAAAGAATAGGCACAAAGTATAGAAAGATACTTGGTCAGGGGTTAAGTCTTGGAGGGATGCCCATAGCTGGTATAGGAGAGCAACTGATCTACAGTGTATGTGTGTGTGTGTGTGGGGGGGGTTCTTAGGATTGAATTCTGAGACCAAGTTAGTATTAAAAAGGGAGAAAGACTGAAGAAGATCATAAGGACTGCACTGCACTGGAGTCTAGTTCTTCACTGATTGGAGGCAACTTGGATATCTTCATTTGGTGGATCCTATAAAAACAGAATGGTAAGTGAGTGATGCTACTTTTTTAAATTGTGACAGGTAGTACCATGTGAAGTGTCCTTTAAGTTTTGCTGTGGTGAGGGTTACAAGGATTACAATAAAAGGTCCAGACCATTTGGGTTGTAGTAATGTTGAAGACCTAGGTAGGTGTGGAGAGGTAAACGGTACCTCCTTCTGTTGAAGATATTGTATTTTATCTAGGGGAACCTGGTTTGGGGAGATGGAAAGTCAGCATCGGTTCATAGCTTGTTTCTGATATGCATGAGAAGTGGGAGGAGAAGGGAGTGGGGTGGATAAGGAGAGGGAACAGGGATGAACACCAGGGCCAGGAGTGGTCTTCCAAAGAGAGGTTTGCAGGGGCCGTGGTGGAGAGGTTTTATGGGTAATGCTCGAATTTTAAGGAGGACCAGGGGTAACAATATAATCTAGTCTAAATGAGTTTGGGAAGCTAGTTTAGTCAGCATGTTTTTTATTGTGCACTTGGTTCATTCTACCTTGCTGGATGACTGAGGGTGGTAGGGAATGTGGAGTTTCCAGAGAATTTGTAGGGCTTGTGTGACTCCTTGAGTGAGGGCTGATGTAAACTCGGGGCCATTGTATGGCTGTAAGTAGGTTGGCACACCTAATTTTGATATGATTTCTGAGAGAAGGGAGCTGACTACGATAGAAGCCTTTTTGTTGGTTGTGGGGTAAGCTTCAACCCAACCCAAGAAAGCATCTACAAATACTAGGAGATATTTGAACCTTTTTACGTGTGTGTGTGTGTGTGTGTGTGTGTGTGTGTGTGTGTG